AACAACAACAACGGGAACCCCCAGACTGTTAGCCAGCAGACCAGAAGTTGGCAGTCATTCAGATTTCCAAACTAACAGCTGTTGTCTGCCTGTTTGTCAGTCTGAAGGACAGTGTGCTTTTGACTTAGAACATCTGGCCTTAGCCCTGGCTAATAGGGTCAGAGGGCAAATCCTGTGTGGGTGGCTGGTGTTGGAGCTAAAGAAGGAGGGGAGTCAGATTTCCACGTGATGTGCTTGGCATGTCAAGTGCGATTTCTTAGTCTCCTTGGCAGATGTAGTAAAATCAAATTGTGTTCCCCAAAATGTGTCATCTTGGTTGGGCCATGATTCTCAGTGGTTAGGCAGTTAGGTAAGGATGTAATCATCCCCCATGATGGAATCAGCCAATCGTGTGTAAGGGGATAAAGGTAAGATGCAATATGCTTACTCACGCCACAACCCTGATCTAATGTAAGGGGAGTTTCTTTGGGGTGTGGCCTGATCTCTTTTAATCTTAGATCAAAAAAAAAAAAACTCACAGGCATCTAATTGATTCAGACTCATAGTGACCCCCATTGCGTTTCGAAGGCTGTGAATCTTTACTGAAGTAGATCACCCCATCTTCCTTCTGCTGAGCAGCTGGAGTGTTTGAACCACTGACCTTCTGGTTGGCAGCCAAGTGCCCTGTCCACTACACCACCAGAGATCAGAGACTACAGAAATGACCAGAGAGCGACCTTATTATCCCCGAGAGAGAGGAGCCTGGGGCAGAGTGTATCCTTTGGACCTGGGCTCCCTGTGCTGAGAAGCTCCTCGATTTGGATGAAGATCAATGCCAAGACAAAGAGATCTGCAAGGAATGCTGGGCCCACGGGTGCTGGAAGGACAGAAGGACCTTCCTCTTGAACTCAGTCCACAGACAAAGCCATATTCTGGTGCTAGCACCTTGAATTTGCACTTCTAGCCTTGTAAACTGTGAGAGTAGATCCCAGTGTGTTAGAGCCATGCACTTGTGTTACTCTTGTTACAGCAGCACTAGGTAACTGAGAGGGAGCTCTGGTGGCGCAGTGCCTAAGGCACTTGACTGCTGACCAGAAGGCGG